TTGACCATTTGTGGCCAACTTCAGGGCACTGAATCCGGCGGCGAAATCTTTTTATAATATATATATATATATATATATATATATATATATATATATATATATATATATATATATATATATATATATATTATATATTATATTATATTATATTATATTATATTATATTATTATATTATATTATATTATATTATATTATATTATATTATATTATATATTATATTATATTTAAGATGATATTATCTAATGAAAATTTAATCAGAAATATTGCAAAACAAAATCTGTATTCCAGATAGTACTTTACATGAAAAGGTCAGTAATTTAAGAAAAGGATTAGAAATCAATATGTCTCCAAAAGTGGGAAGATTCAAATGTACTTTTCTTATTATTTGTGAAACTGCACGTCTTATGCCTTTGTCTAAAAAAGAGTTTCTAAAATTTTAGCTTTCGACTTAGCAGAAAGTTTGAAAATTCCACATAGATTTTTAATTGAAAAACGATCAACTGGGAAAGATTTTTATAACAGTTTTGTAAAGAGACATTTAGAATTATCGCTTCGTAAGCCCGAGGCTACCAATCTTGCTCGAGCAGTAGACTTCAATAAATAGTCTGAACGGATATGGAGCTATTATTGGATTTTTTACGGGCAAAATCTTTGATTATCGAACTCGAAACAGAAAATGTCGTATGTGTGATCTGGGACATTTAGTAAACGACCACGACTACAGGAAAAATTGCTATGGTAGTACGAAAGCCATGGAAACGAACATTGGAGAAGAACTTATAAATTGAAGCACTATTCTAAAAGAACAAATTTTAGATGTTGTAGGCAGGTTGTTAGGTTGTAATAGGAAATAAAGACAGTACTACGATGGCTGCTGTAAATAATGCGAATTTAAAAAGCAACGTTACTAAAAAGATTTATAAGCTAGCTGATATGAATCATGTTAAGAAAATCCTATCCAAGAAAATTTTTTAAATAAAACCGAAATTTAAATAATTGCATAAAAAAGGTTTAATTTTTTACATCAAGAAATGCTTTGCTTACGCTTTATCTCAGTGAAAGAAAAATGCAGTGAAATTAGCAACAACGGTTTGATGTATACCGAATCATTTATTTATTCTTTGTGAAAACTGCGATACATGGTGTAGAAGTAAGAATAAAACAAATCCTGGACTGACGACACAAAAATTTGTTATTACAGACGAAAGTTTACATATCGAACTAAAAACTATATTTAATGTATATGCTGATAATGCTTCAAAATACAGTGTTCCTGCATCGAGTCAAGCTATTATATTCTTCGATTTGGATCTGGACAAAAGAAGACGTCTGATATTTTACAAATTGCTGCAAAAGTAGGTGAAAAAACATTCTCTGTATTTATTCAAGCTACTTAATATTATTATTGAAGACAAATGCATATATATTCATTTTTTAAACAAAAACTTTAATTATCTAGATAAAAAAATTAAAAATCTTTTCCTATTTAACACACTAAAACAAATAACACATAATTGCCAAATACTTGATTCCAAATAGCGCTGTTCTTTGAACAAAAAACATAAAAATAAATTTGATTCCGTTTACATTCCACCTGAACTAAAAATATCCAAAAAATGGTTCGTTCATCTCATAGATATTGATATACCGTCTGATGTTCTTACAACCGTTTTACATGGTGACAAATTTATTTAAGACAGCAAATTGGATTTTACCAACATTGTCAACTATATAAAATCTATTGAAACTTTCATTGACTTAAATAAGATTAATACTAATATTGCTGATAATATAAGGACAAATGTCCTTGATAATATTAACGTACATACTCGTAACAAAACTTAACACACAAAAATACAGGATCGAATTTTAACAAACAAATTGAACAACATCAAACTTTTTGTAAAACAACATAATGACTTAATGTTCACAATGGCTGACAAAGAAAATGTTACTGTTGCTATCAAAAAGTCTGATTATATTTACAGGATTAACGATCTGCTATTTGACAGTTACACTTATTTGACTGTTAACCATAACCCCCTTTTGTTTTTTACAAAAAAACACCTATTGTTTGTTAAAAATTTTGATTGAAAATGAATGTCTTGATAGAGTATATAAGAACAACCAATTGACACAGACACATACTAAACTTTTGAGAATATATGGTTTACTTGAGATTCATAAAGAAAATACCCCTCTCAGACCAATTGTCTCTATTTGTAATTTTTCTAAGCACTTTTTAGCAAAAAACTTATGTAACGCCTTATCCGATTATTCCTGATTACCATGTTCTCATCAGTTTAGATGTTAAATCTTTGTTTACAAATGTTCGTACCAGACTATTTTTTAACTATATGTTGAAACAGTTTAAAAAAAATAAAAAATGGAGGAAATACACGCATTTCAGTGCAGCAGTACATTTCTTCATGGTGGGCATGATTGGCATTTCAATTTAAAGTTAGATTTTACTTATTCAAAAAATTTAATCTAATTTCAAAGTGCTCCAATTTACGTAAAAAAAATTTTTACCTAACCCCTTAATCATTTTTTATGTATTTTTTTGGATTTTGAATCAAATTGAGGGCTTGGATCGAATAACTCGCTCGACGCTCGGAGGAACGCGCAACTGCCAGTCAGTGAGCCGTGAGCGCCTCTGGGCCACTCCCTGCTACCCGACTGGTATTAGCGCGTGCCTTCGAGTGTCGCGCGAGTTATTCGATCCAAGGCCTCAATTATACGTTTATTCTATATATTCAATAAAAAAAATCAAGGAAAACAGATTTGTCTCCAAACAGTAAATGTAGAGTTGACATTATAAAACAAGTGATTTCTCTGCCTCTTAAAATGAATGGAAATAAGAAAAATACTTCATCCTTGCAACCTGAAAATAAATACTTAATAGAAAATTTAATGAACGACTAATTTAAGAAATTTGTTACACTTTCCATTATAATTTATAACACGTTCCATTTTTGTAAATACGGATATGACTGTTTTATTACTTATTTTATAATGTTAGTAACTTTGTATTTGTCAGGTTAAACGAAATAGTATTTTAAAAGGTTGGCAAGAGTGGATCTAGGTGTGTTCCGCGGAAAGAGTAAGATCAGAACTCGGTGTCTCGTGTCGAAAGCGTAAAAGGTTGAGATCGTGTGATAAAGGAAAAGTGTTTCGTTTTAATTTCATTGAAAAGAAATAATTGTTGGCATTGGTCGATTTAGTCAAGTTAAAGGATTTGTTCCGAGTATATTTGTACTTTTTTATACTTTCAACTTCTAATTTTATTTATATTAATTTAACCTTTAATGCCTCCCTAGGGATCGTAGGACCTTGCAGCTGGTGGGGTGGCTTAAAGGCCTAATCGGCGAGTACCTCTGGACCCCGTTCTTTCCTTCGTTGGTCGTTTGCGGCGGCCTGCTCATCATAAAGGAGGGACCGCCCAATAGACCAGCTCCATGGAGTAGAGGGTAAGAAAGGTGAGGAAGCAACCTTTGGGCGATCAGAAATGATCACCACTGGAAGCGGAGGGGTGTACTGTCTGCGGGGCCCCAACTAAGAAACGGTCCCCCAATCCAAGATGTTTCTGCCGTGTCGACGGATGAATGGCACTAGGGTTGCCAAATCTGTCGCTCACGACGGGCCGGCTGCCTGTCTGTCTGTCGGAATTGTACTGGTCGGTTAGTGATTCCGTAAAGCTCGGGGGAGCGATCTGGCTGGGGTTCCGGCGGACGGGCGGGCGGCTGGTCTTGGCGTGATGTGAACGGAGGTGTCTTAAACGGCGGCTCCGGAACACCGGGCGACCTTCCAGTAGTACTAGCCTTACTCCTGCAAGCGAGGCTCTGCAGGAGTGGACTTTCTTTTCCCTTGCTACTCGTGGGTCTTCAAATGGAGAATCAATTTAACAATTTAAATTTGGGTGACAAAAGTGTCTCGTTGGCTGCGTCTGCAACCTCCTCGGAAGTTGTGGATGTGACGGTCTCGAACCCTGGAGTCGTGGGTCAGTCTCCCCCTCCTCTTTGGCTGCTCCTTCGGGTTCTTCGGGATCTAATGGTAATGTGGTCTTAGGTGAAGGAGGAGATTCAGGGGCTGCAGAAATGCCCCTAGGCAAAAGAAAGCGCCTTACCGGTTCTGAAAAGAAACGGTTAAGGAAAGAACGGCTAACAGCCGGTGTAAACAACTCGGTTTCCTCGGGTGTTGCTACTGGGTCGAAGAGAAAGAGTGGCCAGGATGCATCACCTCTGGAAAAAAAGAGGGTGTAAAAAGGCCAAAGTCGGTCCAGCAGAGTACCAGGAGAGAGGGGTACAATGTTAAGCTAACAATGGACCAAAGGACAAATCCTCTAACGATGGTGGTCTGTAGCGAGGGCTACCCAGATTTGGCGCTTACAGATGAGCAGTTTGGACTTCTTAGGAAGACCGTTGTGACGCTCACCTGTAAGGAGCCAATCGAAAGGTGGCCGCGTTTTGAGGCTTCCTTCTGCAGAGGAGGAGTCTTTATTTTCATGGCTTCCAATTCGGAGGCTAAGGAATGGCTGACAAAATGTGTGGCCGACCATGAGCCCTGAAAGGGAGCGAGGTTGAAAACTGGTGGAGTTGAGATGCTCCAAAGAATGGTAAAGGCTACTGCGTGGTTCTCGGGAGAAACGGCGGACGCGCGGACGGTCTTGCGACATTTGGAGGCTTTCAACCCTACGTTGAAGACATCGACTTGGCGTTTGCTGAATGTTGATGGGTCTCAGGTGGCGAACAGGGGTGACAAGAGTTTTCTTCTTGTCGCTAAAGTCCTTGAAAGTCAGGCAAGGGCTATAGAGGCTCTCGAATTTAAGCCTCACTATCACTTCGGGCGGATAACCTTTAAGGTAACTGTCCCTGATCGTGACGGCACAAGCAATGTAGAGGAGGGAGAAGAGCAAACATAATTCACTGTTTGCAAGCTCTCCGCCATTCAGATTAACTTGCATCATAGCAAAGGCGCCTCATCAGTACTGATGAGGAGCATGGCTAAGTTGCACACAGGCATCTCACTAATCCAAGAACCATGGTTAGTAAGAGGTGTCATTAGGGGGCTTGGTGGGGCTGGTCTAGTTTGTTACAGGGACTGCAGAGCTGCCAATACCAGGGCGTGCATTCTTACTAAGGGTGTCAACGCAACTCCACTTTTGGATCTGTGTTCAGGGGACCTAATGGTGGTAGTAACTAACCTGGAGGGTATAGATAAGACGGTCGTAGGATCGGCATATTTTCCATATGATAATAAAATTAATCCGCCAATTGAAGTTCGCAGGTTGGTGGACTACTGTATGGAAAAGGGACTTCCTCTGCTGCTGGGCTGCGATGCAAACTCACAACATACGGTGTGGAGGAGCTTAAAGCACAACCAGAGAGGACAGAAGCTATTGGAATATCTAATTGGAACGGATCTAGATATTCTCAACACGGGTTCGACCCCGACTTTTAGCAATGCGATTAGGCAGGAAGTGATTGATATCACTCTCTGCTCCAAAAGCATTGGAAATAAGGTAAGTAGATGGAAAGTTTCTAATGAACCTTCTCTTTCTGATCATTCACAGATAGTCTTCGAGGTGGAGTCTGCGGTTTGACCCGAAACTAAGTGGATTCGTAATCCCAGAAGGACGGATTGGGCTAGTTATATCTCAGAACTTCAAAGGACACTTTCTGGTTTACCGGGTAAGATAAGAGATTATCAGACCCTATATGAGGCTGCGAATGATTTTATAAAGGCTATTAAGGCAGCTTATGAAAGTAGCTGCAAACCGACAAAAGCATTCTCGGGAAAAGAGGTGTGCTGGTGGAACCAGAGATTAGAACATCTCAGGAGAAAAACCAGGATACTCTTTAAGCGTGCCAAGAAAAGGCGCACGACTAATGGTTGGTCTGATTTTACGAAAATGAGAGACGACTATAGAAATGAAGTAAGGAAAGCAAAACAAGACAGTTGGAATGCTTTCTGATCTAGCATCGAAAAAAGGAAAGAGGCGGCCAGATTGGATAAGCTGCTCGCTAAGAACCCTGATGCAATTCTGGGCACTTTAATGTTGCCGGACGGGACTTTCTCTGAGTCGGACGATGAGACCTTGGCTTGTCTGGTCCAGGAACACTTCCCGGGCTTTTCGAGGTCTGGAGAGGGCGGATCCGATCCTGGGCCGCCAATAAACCTTTCGCAGGCTGATTACCGGTCGCGGAGGCAGTTGGCTAACAGGATTGTGACTGCTGAGAGGATCAGATGGGCCACGGAATCTTTCAGCCCTTACAAGTCTCCGGGTCCTGATGGCGTCTACCCTGTCCTCTTGCAAAGAGCGATAGATGAGGCTGTTGGACCATTGGTAAGGCTTGCTAGGGCGAGTCTGACTTTGGGATATGTCCCGATAGCGTGGAGGGGTACAAAAGTTGTATTCATACCTAAAGCGGGCAAGAACGGTTATACCTCACCGAAGGATTTTCGTCCTATTAGCCTTACATCCTTTATTCTAAAATTAGTTGAAAGGTTGGTGGATAGATATATTCGCAGTGAGATTTTGGAGCGGTTCCCGCTACAAAAGGATCAATATGCGTATAGAGCGGGATGCTCTACGGAAACAGCTCTGGCTAGAGCAGTAGACCTAATTGATGGGCAACTGCAGAATCAGGGCTTTGCTGTAGGTGTTTTTATGGACATAGAAGGAGCTTTTAGTCAGGCCTCTCCGGAATCCATAAAAAGAGCTATGACAGCTTTTAATATTCCTACAGGAGTGGTTGATTGGACCTGTCATATGTTAAAAACAGGAACCTCTTATCAACTAAAGGAGACTCAGTCCTGAAAGGGACAGTCAACTCTGGATGCTCCCAAGGAGGTGTTCTTTCACCCTTGCTCTGGTCCTTGGTGGTGGATGAACTACTGAGAATTCTGACCGAAGCAGGATACCATGTAATTGGTTATGCGGACGACATTTTGTTAATCGTTCGCGGTCCCCACCTCGAAGTTATACTCGAAGTGGCCCAAAAGGCGTTAAACCAGGTAGATAAATGGTGTGAGAAGGTTGGTTTATCTGTAAATCCGGGGAAAACGGAAGCGGTTATCTTTACCAGACGGTACAAGTGGAAAGCCTCGTTCTCACTTACGCTGTCTGGAAAAGAGATCAAATACACAAAGCAGGCAAAATATCTAGGAGTAATCCTGGATAGTAAACTGCTTTGGAAAAAGCACTTGGAAGAGAAGTGCAGGAAACTTACAGCTGCTCTGTGGCAATGTAGAAGGGCCATAGGTAGTAGCTGGGGTCTCAAGCCGGATACACTTTTGTGGATCTATGAAGCAATTCTGCTCCCTAGGCTGACCTATACTTGTGTGGTCTGGTGGAGTAGAGTTGAGTTAAAAACAGCACAAACAGAATTGGAAAGGGTAAGGGGGATGGTACTTAGGGGCTGTCCATAAATTACGTAAGACATTTTGTTGAAAAATTTGACCCCCCCTCCCCCCTCGTAAGATTTTTTTTACATACATTAGCGCCATTTTTTCTATTGTTCGTAAGATCTTGCTGACCCCCCCCCTAAATGTCTTACGTAATTTATGGACGGCCCCTTAGGGGCATAACGGGGGCGGTGCGTACAACTCCTACTGCTGCCCTTGGTGCCCTCTTGGGGCTAGAACCCTTACACCTTACAATTAAAGCAGCGGCGGTTAAGGCTGCCCTGCGGTTGAGTGGTCCTGTGGGCTGCAGGGAGGTGGGCAGATGGCGTCCCCCAAAGAAATTGGTAAGAATCCCTTTTCTAAGTATGATTAGGGACAGAACTGTCCCTTTGTACCTCTTCGACAAAAAGTATAGGATAAATATACCTAGTAGAGAAGATTGGATAAATGGACTGACAAGTATTCCAGCTGACTGTGAAGTCTGGTACACAGATGGATCAAAAGGCGGGAATGGAGTTGGTGCAGGAATCTATCATGTAACCTCCCAAGCGGGACACTCCTTTAAGTTAGGGACCACTGTTACTGTGTTACAAGCCGAAATTGTGGCAATATTTTATGGTACTGTTGAAGCCTTGAAAAATTGTCACAACAAAGATATTTTTATCCTTTCGGATAGCAAGGCGGTTATTTTCTCCTTGAAACGATACGTATCAACATCACGGCTGGTCGGTGATTGTCATGAAGCACTCAACAAACTAGCTGAAACGAACCGTGTTACCCTCCTCTGGATCCCTAGTCACAGTGGATTCGCGGGAAACGATAGGGCGGATGAGCTAGCCAAAGAAGGGGCTAGAAAACAACTTATTGGACCTGAACCTCCCATTGGTGTTTCCAACAAATGCCTGACACTGGAAATTTAGCAGTGGATAGCTGTGGAACACCAAAGGGAATGGCAGGTAACTAAGGGCTGTAGACAAGCCAAGGTACTCATGGGAAGTAGTATTAACCCTATAAGGAAAGCGGAATTCCGCAAATTAAATAGAAAAGAGGCAAAGATCATAACAGGGCTATTAACTGGCCATGGTGATCTGCGCTATCATAGGCACAAAATGGGGATCCTAGACGACCCGAAGTGCCATAGGTGTGGAGAGGAATATGAAACCCCGATACACATTTTGTGTCACTGCCCTGCACTTGTGAAGGAGCCGGAACACATTACGGGCTACTTCTTTCTGGAGGAGACCGTTATTGCTACCAGAAACCTGGCCGAAGTCCTCCTGTTGTGGAAAAGACTTCGGATATAGGGGTGGTTATGGGGAACGTAAAGGGATTACCCAAGCGTTAGTGGCTTTGACCTGCAAGGTCCTAGGTCCACAACCCTCTTCTTAATAATAATAACCTTTAATGTAATAGAAAACAAGTGAGAAATAAAATTCCAAATTATTTCAAAAAAGGTGCTGGAAAATTATTTTAAAAACTCTTTCTTGTTTGAAAGTGAAAAATAAAAGCTTCTATAATTAAGTTTACATCATGGCTGACAAAGTAAGTTAATTCATTTCGCTATATCATGATCATGAACTTCGCAAAAATTGTTAAATCAGATTTTAAAAAATACAAAAGACTTTAAACATATAATACTTACGAAAGATTATAGCCAAACAATATTATTGTAAAAAATACGCTTCTTGAAAAAGTGTCATCGCTGGAAGACTTGCAAATTGGAATGATAAATATTGTAACTTTCAGTCTTCGTGAAAGATCTTGGATAGGTCTATGTAAAAATGGATATTTCATTCCAAAACCTTACAATCATAGTAACAAATGTAAAGATTGACAAAGAATCTTAAAAAGATATATATATATATATATATATATATATATATAAACACGTTTTCAAATTAATTCCTTTTTTATACTTATTTTATTATAATTATTTTTTCATTACAAAACAGTAACATGCTTTCTTTTACTTTTTAATCTAAAAAATTTAATATTAGTAATGTTGATAATGTGTTACTTAATTCAAATTCGAAGACAATTCGCGCCAATTTTCAAACATCCGGGTTCCGGAAACCCTTGATCAATCACCGTTTAAGGCATATTAACGCAACTCTCCCTTGAGGATCTCTACACGTCATGGTGCAGGTGGGCTCAAACTTCGATGACGTGTATAGACGCAAGCAGATTTTTGGCTACAAAAACACACAGATTTGTCCACAAATTTATACTCGGGGGTTTTCGGGATCGCTTATTACGAATCCGTTTTCAGATTTTGAAAATTCAAAATGGCGGATCTAATATGGCGGAAGACATTTTTAAAATTTCATCGGATTCACTTGAAACTTGTTACTCAGGGGTTTTCAGGGTCGCTGATTACGAATTCGATATCAGATTTTGAAAATTTAAAATGGCTGATCCAATATGGCGGACATTTTCAAAAATTCATCGGATTCACTTGAAACTTGTTATTCAGGGGTTTTCGGGATCGCTAATTACAAATCTGATATCAGATTTTAAAAATTCAAAATGCCGGATCCAATATAGCGGACGACATTTTCAAAAACTCGTCCGATTTATTTAAAACTCGTTACTTGGGGGATTTCAGGGTCGCTGATTACGAATCCGATTTCAGATTTTAAAAATTCAAAATGGTGGATCCAATATAGCGGAAGACATTTTTACAAACTCGTCCGATTCATTTAAAACTTGTTACTCGGCTGTTTTCGAGGTCGCTGATTATGAATCTAGCATAAGATTTTTAAAATACAATGTAGAGTTTCGAATATGGCTGGCGCTATTTTAAAAAATTTATCAGATTTACATAAAAGTTGTTACTTGGGATTTAATGGTGTCGTAGATTAAAAATGTAATATCGGTTTTGAAGATGGCGGATCCAATATAAGAACAAAAAAAATATAAAAAACAAAATAAATAAAGAAGTGTAAAATACGACCGCATACCTCCACGTGGTAAACTCTGAGGTCCGGTCGTAAGTAACGTAGTATACTTAACAGCTGACTGCGGGGGTAGATTTTGTATTTATTATCATTTTTAAAGTTTTTCGTAATCAGCGAAAACCCTCTAGTAACAAGTTTCAAATGAATCCGTTAAATTTTAGAAAATTTCATTCGCCATATTGGAACCGCTATTTTAAATTTTCAAAATCTGAAATCGGATTCGTAATCAGCGACCCCGAAAACCCCTGAGTAAAAAGTTTTAAGTGAATCCGATGAATTTTAGAAAATTTCGTCAGCTATATTGGATCCGCCATTTTGAATTTTTAGAATCTCAAATCGGTTTCCTAACCAGCGACCCTGAAAATCCCCGAGTAAAAAGGTTCAAGTGAATCCAATGAGTTTTAGAAAATGTTGTCCGCCATATTGGAACCACCATTTTAGATTTTTAAAATCGGATATCGAATTCGTAATCAGCGACCCCGAAAACCCCTAAAACACATGTTTCAAGTGATTTCAGTCGATTTTTAATTTTCATGTCCGCCATATTGGATCCGCCATTTTCAATTTTAAAAATCTGATATCCGATTCGTAATCAGCGACTTCAAATACAATAGTATGCTCGTTTGCGCAAATTTTAGTTTTTTAAAAAGTTGTCGACATTTTGAGCCCACTTATGAGATTTTGGTCTTGACTGCGAAGGGGATAACAAATGGAAAACAACGCATAAGACATAAAGTTTCAAATGCTCACATTTTTATTTTTTTTTCTTTGTTTATAATTATTTGAGGTAAAGCAGTAGTAAGTCCTAATTGATTATAATCAAAAGATTGTATAAGAGTATTTAAAGTTTGCAATGTAAAAAATTTGTTAACGAAAATAAATTCCCATATTATAGATTCCAAGACGTACAGAGAAACACCTTCTAGTAAATCGTGCATAAGATCTACTGATACATTTTCCGTAATATTAAAACCTTTAATATTATGAAAAGTGCATTCTTCTTTTATACCACTTTCAGAAAATGTATTTTTTTAAAATCTTTCTCGTAATTTTCACGTGTTCTTAGAATCTTATCATTTTCTAAAAATAATTTTTTATATTCATCTGGAGAAATTGTGCAAATTCTGCAAAAGTGAGTATTTGTAAAAGATTCAACAAATCCAAAAATACTATTAAGTCCCAAATTATCTCCAAGAATTAAAGTTAGTTGAGATTTTACGCGTTGTAGACTTCCATTGATTTTGATGAGAATCCCTGTAGATTGCAAGAAATTAACTTCTTCAACAATTTTTCTAAAAACCTTGTCATTTGAACTATTTTTTTATCATTAGTGCGTACTAAAAGGGTTTAAAATATTTAATTCAGTCGAGATGAAATGTGAGGAGGAAGACAAGCTATCGACGCATATAAAGCACCAAATTTGTTTTTACCGGCGTGGCTACCTAATGGATTACCCGTTTCTAAGTCATCGTAGAAAAGATAAAGCGGCAAAATAATGCTATCACTAATTTTTAAATATTTCTCTAATCATAAGTCAGCCTGCATAATATTTGTGATAATATTTGATTCTATCTTTAACTTTTCTATGTATGAAGTGATTTGCTTTAACATACAGGGATTTCTAGAAATAATTTTAATGTTTTCCTCAAAGGAACGTGTATTCCGTGTAAATTTTCTGAAACAAGTATCATCTCATTATCTACAAGTCTATCTACAAAATGTCTACCAATAGTAAATTCTTCAAAATCAATTAATAATCCTCTCTGTTTTAATAATTGGAATCGTTTACATTCTGTCGAGACATCATCTAAAATGAAACTGTATGTTTGAAAACATTCTTTTACTTTTAATATTGTTTTATTTTCAACATTGTCGTCTTTAAGAATTGATGAAATATCTTTTAACAAACCGGGTAAAAAAAGCCTGCAATAAAATTTCTCATATAATCAATTACGATCTGAACAATATTTCGTGGAAGTGAAGGATTGCCATATAATCCCAGGATAAATGTTAAAAGAAAATTAATCATTTTGTTATCTATATTTTATTAATAAAAAATCTTGATTTATATAAAAACTTATAATAATAAATAATATTTTTAAAAATATAAAATCAATTTTAATAAAATATAAAAAGTACTTGAATTTGCTTCAATTCACTTAACTTGCTTGTAGCTTTTAAAAAACTATTTTAATTTTTTTAATTCGACTAATAACCTTGTTACAGGTGCACAGCTTTTGATAAGATCAAAACCATAGATTAATTTTCCTACAAGGCCCCAAACAAAATCACAAGCAATAGGCTAATAATAATAATAGCTAATAATAATAATAATAATAGCAATAGATCTAATGCTTTTAAACATTTGTAACAAGCTTCGACAGCTTGGGAAGCATGTACATAAGTATATTTAAGTAGTTATATTATTTATCATTATTTTCATTAAATTTAAATAATTCAAAGAAAGGTTATAAGTATCTTGCACTATAAAAATATTATTTTTTGTTCCATCTATTTTCATGTCATAAAACACATGGACAAATGTCACTCCCGCCATCTGTCGTACAAAACGCGCGGCGACATATCAACAGCGTGTAGGTAACTGTCCTTCACTATTTTCATAGCCGCTATATATACATTATTTATACTATTAAAACATTAACTTTTATTAATTATAACACTTTATAATAATAAAATTACACTTTTTAACTATTTATCTGACATTAAAAAATCATGACAATAACACTTTCTCAATAAATACACACCAATTTATCAATTCACATTCACTTGACATTTCCACATAATTTATCTTTTATTTCACTTATTTTACATTAATTTGTAACAAATAAGGTCATAAACGATTAATAAACACTTTTTATACAAAACCCAATACTTACTTTATCATATTTTTGCATTTAAAACACTTTTTTTGTTAACGTCAACTTTTGACGGATTCTTGACGT